GGGATTCGAACCCGCCACCTTAGGTGTATGTGGCTGGCGCCTTAGCCGCTTGAGCCACAGGCACCGAGCCAGCCTCTGTCTCTTAAAAAAAAAAAAAAATCTCATAACCCAGGGACTGCCTATATAGTTAAACACTATTACAAAAGTAAATGCTGACTTGTAAAACATAAGGTCTTGCATCCTTCCTTAAGATAGTCTTCCCTGGGTTTTTTATCTGCCTTTTAGTAGCAGTGGGTGAGTACATTGGATATTTGCTTTTCCATTATTGTCATACTGTACTAGGAGAATGTTCAACTCAGGTTAACACAAAGGATATAAAGTCTCCATTTTTTTTATGGGTGAACAGTATTCCATGGTATTAAAGTACTTACAAATTTAATTTAAAAAATTTTTTTTAATTACAGAACATCATTTTGGGAAGTAAAGTCAATTGGGCAGAGAATTCAGCACTTAAGGAAACGGTTCTGCAGCTTGAGAAGAATCTCACCATGATCTAAAAGAATTCTATTTTGACATGTTTCATTTTTTATTTTGATAGGTAATTTAAACAGCAAATGTCAAGTGAAATTGATTTTCAGTGTTTTTGGAACTATTCTAAAAGTGCAAAGTTTTTTAGCTTAATTAACTTTTAGCAATTAACGTAGAATCTATTGGTTTAAATATGATAATTAAAATGACTGGGATACTCTAAAAGAATCTAAAAATCTTAACCTCGGAAGAGTCCAGAAAGACATCTAATTCAGCTTTCCATTGACTATGGACATTCTACATTTCTGGCAGTTTCAACTCTTATGTGGAACATTTCTGTGCATTTGTTTGTCAACCATAATTTTAGAAAAGCATATCCAACGGGTTATTTGTAGTGGGATTGGGAATGACTTTTTTCTTTCTGTATTTCTATATTTAGTGTGCATTAGTATTTTTTGCATTAGTTTTGTAAGTTGAAAAATAAAAGGAGTAAGTTTTATTCTATCTTTGTTATTATAAAATAGAACTTGCCACTTTTTACAGCATGCCATTCTGTTTTTAGAAAACTAATTTGAGCACTTCCTGAATTTGGAGCCATTTAGCCATTTTTACAGATAATGTGTTTTTAGCATTCTTTTTAGAGGGACTTTAACCTTGAAAAGATATATTGCAGGGAATGAAAAAACCCTGACCACTGGGCCACGCCTGGAAAAACATCATTTTAGAAAATCTAAAGCCAGGCAGGGCATGGCAGCTCACACCTGTGATCCTAGTACTCTGGGAGGCCATGGTGGGTGGATTGCCTGAGTTCACTAGTTTGAAACCAGCCTGAGCCAGAGCGACATCTCATCTCTAAAAATAGCTGGTCGTTGTGGTAGGCGCCTGTAAGTCCCAGCTACTCGGGAGGTGGAGGCAAGAGAATAATTTGAGCCCAAGAGTTTGAGGTTCCTGTGAGCTGTGACTCTATGACACTCTACCAAGGGTGACTGAGACTCTGTCTCAACAAAAAAAAAAAAAAAAAGGAAAATCCAAAGCCACAGCATTAAGTCATAGAATGAATCCCAACCCAGTGGACTATTAGCATCATTGAAAACACTTTTGGCTGGTTGTGGTGCTCATGCCTGTAATCCTAGCACTCTGGGAGGCTGAGACAGGTGGATAGCTTGAGCTCAGGATTTTGAGACCAGCCTGAGCAAAAGCAAGACCTCCTCTTTACTAAAAGTAGAAAAACTGAGGCAAGCAGATTGGTTGAGCCCAAGCATTAGAGGTTGTTGTGAGATACGACACCATAGCCCTCTACCCAGGATGACAGCTTGAGACTGTGTCTGGAAAAAAAAAAAAACACTTTGCATTTTTGTGGGGTATTATTGTTTTTTGAGTTCCTTCTTAAAAGACCAATTCTGAGAGAGAAATCATATAGTCAGGTTTTCTTAAATTGTGCTGCATAATAGCCCCAAAGTGGCTGGCGCCTGTGGCTCAGTGAATAGGGTACTGGCCAAATCTGCAACAGAAAAATAGCTGGGCGTTGTGGCAGGCACCTGTAGTCTCCCCAGTTACTCAGGAGGCTGAGGCAAGAGAATCACCTAAGCCCAGGAGTTGGAGGTTGCTGTGAGCTGTGACACCACGGCACTCTACCAAGGGGGGCATAGTGAGACTCTTTGTCTAAAGAATAAATAAATATAATAGCCCCAAGTATCAGTTGCTCATAGCAAACCTTTATTTCTGTTTTCAGTCTCCAGTTCAATTGATGCTCCTGGATCCAGGCTGCGGGAACGGCCACCATCTGAAAAACAACTCATTGCAGAGGGCAGGCAATTAATTCATGAAGCCATGTTAAATTTTACAGGCACAATTAAAGTTCCTACTTAAAACTTTAATGGTCAATAGATGACCAAGCCCAACACTGAGGTAGGAAAGGGTACTTCCCCCATATCAGAAGAGTGTTGGGTTTCCGAGTTAGAAAAAGAAAATGGGTATTTCCTGAGAGAATACAATCTACCACAGTAATCTGTCTTGATCACAAATATTGGCTTCCCTTCTGCATGTAAAAGACACCTCTTCTCAATGAAATTAAGAATGTTCAGAGTCTCATGATAGTCTTTTGGGCAATGCCTGTATCTCAGTGGGTAGGGCACCGGCCACTTACACAGAGGCTGGCGGGTTCAAACCCAGCCTAGGCCTGCTAAACAAAAATGGCAACAAAAAACCTATTCATTGTGGCGGGTGCCTGTAGTCCCATTTACTTGGGAGGCTAAGGCAAGAGAATCGCTTAAGCCCAAGAGTTTGAGGTTGTCAGCTATGACACTATGGCACTCTACCCAGGGAAACAGCTTGAGATTCTTTCTCAAAAAAAAAAAAAAACATAGTCTTTCTTATCAGGTCCGGATATGGCTCTTCTTGATCTGGAGTACTGTGATATCAAAAAACAAGTTATAATACCTCACACACCCAGCACATAACAGTGGAACAGGTCTACAGTAACTGAAATATTACCTGGCAAACAATTGAAGGTTCCCCTTCCTAGCGGGTAGGGAACGCTTCATGATTAGCTTTTGTGCTGCCTTCTGGAAGCACTTCTTCATCCATGGTTCTGCTTTCTGGACTTTGGGAAGTTCTGGGGTTTTGTTTTGTTTTTTAAGAGACAGAGTCTCACTTTATCATTCTCAGTAGAGAGCTATGACGTCACAGCTCTCAGCAATCCCCAACTCCTGAGCTTAAGCGATTCTCTTGCCTCAGCCTCCCAAGTAGCTGGGACTACAGGCACCTGCCACAACGTCTGGCTATTTTTTTGTTGCAGTTTGGCCCGGGCTGGGTTCAAACCAGCCACCCTTGGTACATGGGGCCTGTGCCCTACCAACTGAGCCACAGGTGCTGCCCAGGTTCTTTTTTTGTTTTTCATATCTCTGAAGACGGCATTAGAGGGGAAGTATGCTGTTCTAAGCACTTTTTCAAACTGGGGACCCAAGATCTGTTCATATCATGAATGGTCCGAGTCTTTTAAGATCCAGGCTTAGTGGTGATTTTAACATATTTTTCTCAAAAATATTTTTTTGTGTAGCTCAGTGCCTGTAGCTCAGCGGTTAGTGTGCTGGCCATAGACATTAGAGCTGGCAGGTTCAAACCCAGCCTGGGCCTGCTAAACAATGACAACAGCAACAACAAAAATAGCTGGGCATTGTGGCAGGCACCTGTAGTTCCAGCTACTTGGGAGGCTGAGGCAAGAGAATCACTTGAGCTCAAGAGTTTGAGGTTGTTATGAGCTGTGACTCCACCGCACTCTACCAAGGGTGACATGATGAGACTGTCTCAAAAAAAAAATTTTTGTTTTTTTGTGGTATAAGTAGTTTTGGTTATTTGTTTCCTCTTTATGGAGTAGGCAAACTGGCTTACTGGCTGTTTTAACTCTGTTGGAACAAAGCCACACCCTATATTTACAACTGTCCATGGTTGCCTTCCCATTACAATATCTTAATTCAATTGAACAGAGTAATTGTAAAAGAGACTATATGGCCCTACATACATTCTTTTTCTTACAAGCGATTGAACAATCTAGTTACCCCGAAGAATTTTCTCTACCTGATGACTGATTGCTTTCTAGTAGTTCATGTAGTTTCTTTGTTTTGTATTGTTTTATTTTGGGGGGGACAGAGTCTTACTATGTTGCCCTTGGTAGAGTGCAATGGCATCACAGCTCACAGCAACCTCAAAGTCTTGGGCTTAGGTGATTCTCTTGCCTCAGCCTCCTGAGTAGCTGGGACTATAGGCGCCCACCACAATGATGCCGGCTATTTTTTTGTCGCAGTTTGGCTAGGGTCAAATTTGAACCCACCACCCTCAGTATATGGATGGGGCCAGCGCCCTACTCACTGAGCCACAGGCACCGTCCCAATCAAATGATCTGATGACAGCCAGGAGGCTGACTGTAACTGAGCAGGAAATGAAGGCAGGGTTTGCAGATTAAGGCAATTTGCTGCCTTAACTTCAGCAACTTTTATTATAGTGATCCTGGAAGGATTCAGATGGGGCCTGAGTAAGAATTCTGTGGAAGTATGAATGCCAATACTTAGACGCAAACTATAGGTAGAAAAATGCCAGAGTATTTTCCTGGCAGACTTCCCAAAACAAAATCCATACCAGTAAGACCAGAAATTTGCTGTGTATTTGACACTTTCCACCTTTATCATTAGGTAATCCCAGGAGACATTTTTATATTACAGGACTTGGAAAGTTTATCATAAAATCTTTAAGTCCTAGGACTTCTTTGGCCTACAACACCTGGCTACTTTTTAGATATGGGGGTCTGAAACTTGTGAGCTCAAGTGAGCCACCTGCCTCGACTCCCAGAGTGCTAGGATTATAGGCATGAGCCACTGCAACCTGCTTTTAGCCAGATTCTAATGACCCTGATAAACCAACTTTACAGAGAAAAAAACAAAAAGAACCAGAAAAAAAAAAAAGGAAAGGAAAAACAGACACAGCCACTTCACAGTCCTCTTGCTATTAGCTGACACCAAAAACCATTCTGTTTCTCTTCTCCCTTTGCCCTCAATAAAAGCCCAAGTTGATTGCCATCTGGGCCAGCACTTTTCTTTCATGCTGTACATTTCCCTCCCTTTGGGCCAGCACTTCTTTCTTTCATGCTGTACATTTCCCTCCCTTTGGTAAGCAAAATAAACTTTCTATTTGGCAGGGTTTTTTTGGCTGGGGCCAGGTTTGAACCTGCCACCTTTGGTATATGGAGCCGGCGTCCTACTCCTTTGAGTGACAGGCGCCACCCTTTAATTTATTCTTTTTTAATTTTTTTTTAACTTTCTTTCTTTAAAACTATTCTAGTCTGAGCCAGGCACAGTGGCTCATGCCTATAATCATAGCATTCTGGGAGGCCAAGGTAGGTGGATTGCCTTGGAGCTCAGGAGTTCCAGACCAACCTATGCAAGAGCAAGACCCCAATTTCTACTAAAATTAGAAAAACTGGCTGGGCATTGTGGCAGGCACATATAGTCCCAGCTACTCAAAAGGCTGAGGAAAAGGATTGCTTCAGCCCAAGAGTTTGAGGTTGCTGTGAGCTATGATGCTGTAGCATCCTACCTAAGGCAACAGAGTGAGCCTATTTTTTTGTTTGTTTGTTTTTAGAAACAGAGTCTCACTTTATCGCCCTCAGTAGAATGCTGCGACATCACACCTCACAGCAACCTCCAACTCCAGGGCTTAGGCGATTCTCTTGCCTCAGCCTCCAAAGTAGCTGGGACTACAGGCACCCGCCACAATGTCGGGCTATCCTTTTGTTACAATTTGGCTGGGGCTGGGTGCAAACCCGCCACCCTCAGTATATGGGGCCAGCGCCCTACCCAGTGAACCACAGGCACCACCCAAGAGAGTCTATCTTTAAAAAAAAAAAA